GGGGCCAAGTTTACCAAGAAAGTAAGTGGCCAAAAGTTAGTATATGGGAGACACACCCACAAACCACCTCCGCCTCAGCTATATAACTAGAGGCAAGACCTTTCAGGTTCCTGATCAAACTGCTTAACGGCAGTGATCCCAGAGACTCAGAAACAAATCTTGGAACCCAGTGGCTTTTGGCAGAAATGGGTCTGGTCCCTGCAGTAGGTTACAGGTGCTGGGCCACCCAAGGGTGCTATCCTTTCGCCTGCTCCCTCTTGGCGGCTTGGTGGCCATCATCCTCCAGCAGCCATTGGACAGCCAGGTTTGGGCCCGCAGTTACAAGACACATGGGGCCTCATGGGATGGGGGTGGAGCTGGCCCTCTCCTCTCCACCCCAACAAGACCCCGGGTTGCTGCCCAAGAATGGCCTTTCTGGCTCCTGATCAAGCTGTTTAACGGCCATGATCCAAGAGACTCAGAAACAAATCTTGGAACCCAGTGGCTTTTGGCAGAAATGCGTCTGGTCCGCATAGTAGGTTACAGGTACTGGTCCACCCCAGGTGGGAATAGGTTTTGTGCCCTGGCCTGTTCCTCCTGACAGCTCAGTGACTGCCATCCTCCAGAGGCCATAGGCCAGTCAGATTTGGGCCCACAGTGACAAGACATGCGGGGCCTCATGGGATGGGGGTGGAGCAGACCCTTTCCTTCCTGCCCCAACGAGACCCCGGGTCGCCGCCCATGAACAGCCTTTCTGGCTCCTGATCAAGCCTCTAACAGCCATGATCCCAGAGACTCGGGAACAAATCTCAGAACCCAGCAGGCTTTGGCAGAAATCCATCCAGATTTAATTGTTAAAACTTCAGAATTCCAAAATCGTGCAGCCACTACTGAGGCCACACAACATCATATGTTATTCATAACCAGCAATAGAAAGCAAATTGTCTACTGTTGCCTTTTTGGCAGATCCGAGTGATGGGGTAAAATCCCAAATAATAATGGTGGGTCTGGTGTCAAAATATTGAATGTAATCAAAGTAGAGAGAGAGTAATGTGGAAATCATATGGAGGGTGTGGGATGGGGGGGGTAAATTGGGTTTTTTGATGATGGAAAGTGGGCACTGGTGAAGTGACGGGTGTTTCATCATTGTATGACCTAGACTTAATCCCGAAAGCTTTGTAACTGCTCTCATGGTGATTCAATAAATAAATTTATAAAAATAAATAAAATAAATAGCACTGTCTTCCTGTTGTTCATCGATTTTGCTTGAGTGGACCCAATAATGTCTCCATCCTGAGACTTGCTGTTACTGTGTTTGGCATATTGAATACTTCATGGGTAGCTTGCCAGGCTTTGCCGTGAGGGTGAGATACTCTCAGTAGCTTTCCAGGCTCTTTATTAAAAAAAAACAGAGCATGAGACTAATATCCAAGGATAGTAGACACAAGGGCCAAGAGTATTGGTTCATGGTTGGAAGCTTGCCTCAATGGTTGGGGTAGAAGGCAGTTGGGATAGAGATGTAGCATCTAGGACAATGATGGTCAGAAACAATCACTCTGTATAGGACCTTCATGCTGAAAGTAAAACATTATAACCTCTCAGTACCTGTATTGCAAACCATAATGCCCTAAAGTATAGAGAGAAATAAGGAAAATGCCTGTCAAAGATACAGGCTGGGTCGGGAGTGGTGGGAGGAAAACTGGGGACATTGGTCATAGGAAATGTACACCGGTGGAGAAATGGGTGTTGGAACATTGTATGACTGAAATTCAATCATGAACAGTTTTGTAATTCTATAACTCAGAATGATTCCCTTTTAAAAAAAGAATGGTCTTTATATCAGAAAAGGCAGAAGTTCTTGATATTAGCCTTCTTTCAATTCCTGCCCTACACAATCTCCTATGAAAGTGTCCCGGGCCCCGAGATAAGTACCAGGAGGTTTACTCCATGGCTTGGAGGCCAGTCACACATGCTAGGGGAAAAGGCAGCTCAGATAGATAAGGGAGCACCAAATAAAGTGTGTTGGGAGGATCCTCCCAGGATGGGAGATCCATGCTGAGAGTGGACTGTGGACCAAACATGATTGCCACTCAATGACTCTGTTGCAAACCACAGCACCCAACAGGAGAGAGAGAACAAAAGGGAATGCCCTCCCACAGAGGCAGGGTGGGATGGGAGGACTGGGGGTTGGGAGGGATACTGGGATCAGTAGTGGTGGAGAATGGGCACTGGTGGAGGAATGGGTGTTCAATCATTGTATAACTGAAACCCAAGCACAAAAATTTTTAAGTCTACAACTGTACCTCATGGTGTTTCACTAATAATTTAAAAAAAAGTCAAAAAATAAAAATAAAACATTGTAAAAAAATAGAAATTTCATCCTGGTTTTAAAAAAAAGTGTCCTGGGCCTTGAGTCCAGAAGTGTACAGATAATTCTGTCAAGAAAGGTACCAACACGAAAATAATGTTCTTAGTGCTTGGTGGACTTTATGGAATTGTCTAGCTCTTCAAATTGTCCACAAAATCTGGCTGCATTTGAACACCTCTATGGCTACTTGTAGGGTGACATTTCACATAGGTTGCTTTACTTCACTGAGCTTCAATTTGGTCATGCCCGACTGGCGTTAATAACTACTTGAAATACCTTGGAAAAGTAAGCCAAGTGTTTAGGAAGCACAAGTCAAATCATGTCTTGAACATTGTCTATCTAGTTATTTGTGAAGACAACCATCACTGTGTCCAAATACGTCCTGGGCACACACATCTCACACACTGGTCTGGAGTCCTTTACTCCTACATCTCCTCACCTCACCCCACCCATTTATTTTTTGTTTTGTTTGTTTTGGTCATACCAGGCAGTGTCCAGTAGTTATCCCTGGTTCTGTGCTCAGAAATCGCTCCTGACATGCTCCATTTTGCCATCAACATCTCTTTGCTGGCTCACATTCATTCTTCTGATCTCATTTTAAATGTCCCTTCTTTTCACAAACACGTCCAGAGTTCCCTCCCCTATTTTCTTCTTAAATCCCCCTGCACTGTTTCTACATCAGTTCATAATGCTCTATTTATTGTTGTCTGTTCTGCGCAAAATGTATGAGCACCCCCAGGGGCCTTCCTTGTCTTGCTCTCCTCTGAGGAAGGCTCAGTACTGTCCTCGGTGGTATTTGGCCCCTGGGAGACCAGGGTCAGGGAGTTCACCAGATCATGTAAAGTCTGCAGGAGCATATGCCTGGCATGGACATTACAGTTAATCAGTTACTCAGGACGGCTGCCAAGCTACACTTGAGACTCATTTGGTCTTCGTGGCATGGGAGCTGGTTCCTGTTGCCTGAATTCTGGGGGAGCTGTGATTCTCAGGCTGAGGTGAGATGCTCTGCTTAGAGAAAGAAGTCAATTCCAATCTTCACCGGGTGCCGAAAACAATTTGAGAAGACAGGTAGGAAAGTAAAATGTTTTTCCTGAAGTGGGGCACTCGTCCAAGAGAGTATGGGTATAGCTTCTCCAGAGAGGAGACAGCCTCACAAGTGAAGGAAATTGCCCAGTGGAATACCTCATAAAGCAGAGGAAATCAACTGCACATACCAAGTTTGGATGTAGGCATTCCTAAAATGGAAGGTATGAAAAATTACACATTCATGGGCTGGAGCAATAGTGCAGCGGGTAGGATGTTTGCCTTACATGTGGCTGCCCGGATCTGATCCCCAGCATCCCATATGGTCCCATATGAGCATGTCAGGAGTGATTCTGAGCACAGAACCAGGGATAACTACTGGACACTGCCTGGTATGACCAAAACAAAAAACCAAAAAAAAAAACCACTCAGAATAAGGAAGTTCAGTCAACTCTGGACTGAAGTATGCAAGCACTGCTTTGACCAAGTGGATCACATGGTATTTTGCACTCACATCCCAAAGTTGCTTGGGACTTGTCAGGGAGAGGAATTTTTGACCTAGGAAGCTTCTTTTTAATCAGGAAGTTGGTAAGCTGAAGGCTGCCTGACTGGGGGGGGGGGGGGGGGGGGGTGTCTCAAGGCCCCTTTATTTTTCTGTAATGGAACAAGATAGTCCTTTTGTTTTGTTTACAGCCTTTTCCACACTGCCTGCCTCCGGTAGTACTAACAATGGCCAAGGTCTAGGATCACAGCCGACACTCATCAAATATTGATGGAAAGCAGCCCAATCTGTCCCAGAACTCCGGTTGCATTGGGAAAGCTTCATCTGTCTAATCACATAGATAACTGGCATTATCACATAGACAATTTGCCTCCAGTACATCTCGTCCCTAATCCAAGCACCATCCTAAGAGCCTGGCCAAGAATTCTCTAATCCATCCTCTCAGGTACTCAGAGCGCCAAGGAAATTTCTAGAAAAGGAGCATATAAGGAACCACTTAGATAATAGTACATGGGTTAAGGTGCTGTAAGCCTTGACGAGCACCACACAGGGTTTCCCCAGCCTCACCAGGAGTAGCTGCTGAGCACAGAGCCAGGTGTAGCCCCCATGCACCGTTGGGTGCAGCTCAAACCTCGTAAGACTGAAAGCAAAATAATAATAATAATAATAATAATAAAGAAATAGAGGCACACTGGGGGTGGGAAACTGGGAATTGATGGTGGGAAATGTACACTGGTGGAGGGACGGATGTTTTAACACTGCATGACTGAAACCTAAACATGAACCGCTTTTTAAGTCTGTATTTCATTGTGATTCAATAAAAATAAATTTTTTTTTAAGAAGCAAATAAAGCAGTGTGCAAAACATAGGAGACGGTGTCTTCCCATTTCTCCTCTGGATCCAACTATAGCTATCAGGTCAAGTGAAGAATCCCGGCACGAAGAAAGGGGGAGCGGCCGCCAGGACGGGACCCGCGCAACAACCGGCCTTCAGCCCCCACCCCGGCAGCAGCCCCGGGAGCGGACAAAGAGCAGCCGACGCGCAGGCGCAGTCTCCGCCCGTGCAGCGTCCAATCAGCGGCCCCGAGAGCCGTCAGCTGACGCGCGCGCCGGTCACGTGGCGGGGCGCGCGGGCGCGGGCGCCGGTCGGCGGCCGTTGGGTCAGCTGACCCGCGGCGGCGTTCGGCCTGTTGCAGCGACCGGCCCCGGGCTCGCAGTCGCCGGCGCCATGGCCAGCCAGTCGCAGGGCATCCAGCAGCTGCTGCAGGCCGAGAAGCGGGCCGCCGAGAAGGTGTCGGAGGCCCGCAAGCGTGAGTCCAACCGGGCCGGCTGGGAGGGGGGAGCGCGTCTGGACCCCGCGGGGGCCCGGGGGCGGGGAGTGACCACCGGCCACCGCTGTCGCTCGTGGGTGGCGGAGCGCGGGGCCAGCGACCCGGGAGGCTGCGGGGGGCTTGATTGGTTGAGCGGGTGACTCCCGAGGTGGGTGGGTGGGCGGCCTTCGTGGTAGCCAGCGGGCGTCTGGGACCTGGGGGTCGCCCTTAGAGCTGGACTCGACCCCCCCATCCCCGACCCCAGCACCCCCGTGGGGCCCCCTGGCCCACCCCGGCGCCAGGACAGGCGCCCGCGCCTGCACCGGTCAGGCCTTCGAGGCTTCCTCTTGGTGCCTCCCCAGCCCGTTCCCCGCCCATTGTCTTCTCTCTGTTCATTCTAGCGGCCTCCCGGACAGCCCCGAGCTCCCGGAGGGCCCACCCCCCAGCTCCCCGAGGGCCCACCCCCACCCCAGCCGCATTCTTGGAGGTCTGATGGATTCCTAAATGGCGCTTAGGATTTCAAACAGCAACAGTAACAAACGTTGCGGTTGATCCCAGCCGCGCGCAGAAAGGCCAAGCGCTGCTTCTGTGGGCACCCTCCCCTGCCCCTCCCGGAATCGGGGGTGGGGGGTGGGGGTGGGTGGAGGGAATATGTAGCGAAGGAGGCAGATTTGTATAGGTTTCCTTGCAGGGGCCATCAGGGCTACTGTTGAGAAAAGGGCGAGGTTGGTGAAGAAGCTAACCTGCGGATCCGGATGGGCCAGTGGAGGCAGGTCGCCGCCTCCCCGCGGGCCCACTCACCCGCTGTCAGTCATCCTTGTGAAATGCAAATGTGGATTCTCCACCTCCCCACCTCCCTGCCTGTCTGCAGAGGCACAGAGGCAGCGCAGAGGCAGGACCCACCCAGCCACACTGGAGCAGCCCATGGTTTCTTCCCTAGTCTGAACGAGATTCCTGGAAGTCACCGTCTGCGGTTTCACCGGCTTGCATTTTTGTATCCCTCTGGGCTGTCATTTCCCCAGTTTTTTCTCTTTGTTCTCTACCCCACTCAGGTCTTGCCATCTAGGGCAGCCAGATTGCAGGCGTGGAATGGTTGGACATCACTGTTAACGCAGGACAGGTGCTCCTCGCAGAATGCTGATTTAGGGGACAGTGCTTCCAAGAAGTCCTCCCTGACTTGTCCTTCTCCTCTCCATCCAGGCTAGGACTACTTAGTCCCAATTTACCAGTTTCTTTTGCTGCGCTGCAATAAGCCATATGATAAGTGAAGGCAGAGACCAAATTTTTTTGGACTTTGTGTCTTCATTTTCTGGCCTTGTGGGATACATTTCTATCCCTGTTTCCATGAGGGAAAAGTGAGGCTTGTGGGGCAAGGGTCTGACTCAGTCTGGGAAGCAGCATAGCAGAGTCATCAAGGCCTTTCTTCCCCCAAAGGGGACAGTATCAGAATCATCGTGTGATATTTATTCTCTTACCCCCCCCCCCCCCCCATCCAAGGAAAGCTTGGCTCCTTTGCTTTCTCACTGAGGGGTTTTAGGATTCTCTGTTTCCTGGGGGGGGCTGGAGTGATAGCACAGCTGTAGGGCGTTCGCCTTGTTTGCGGCCGACCCGGGTTCAATTCCTCCGCCCCTCGGAGAGCCCAGGCAAGCTACCGAGAGTATCACTCCCTCACAGCAAAGCCTGGCACATATTCGATATGCCAAACACAGTAACAAATCTCAGTGGAGACGCTACTGGGCCCGCTCGAGCATATCCATGAACGATGGAGGACAGTGCCCCTGAGTGCTCCTGTTTCCTGGGAAAGTTGGCTCTGGGGGAGCATAGGATGAAACAGTCTTGTCTTATTTCAGTGACTGGAAAGTTCTGAGTTGTCTCTCCAGAATGTTTGTGGCCAGGGCCCTGATAGGTTCTTTCCAGAGTGACTTCTCGCAGTTTGTCTTTTAATGGCTCATCAGCAGGTTGTGTTGGCAGGAAGCCTGTGAGTGTGTGTTGGGTGATGTGGGAAGCCACATCTGGAGTTGGATAGAAATCATTCTAATGACCTGCGAAGTCTGAGCCATGCTTTATATCTCTTATGGTGGAAGGATTTGTCTGTATTGGGGTACATATTTTTTAATATATTTTGGGGGGTGGGGGTGTTGGGCCATACCTAGTGGTGCCCAGGGATCATGACTGGCAGGACTTGGGGGACCCATCTCTGCAAGTGCCTTGCCCACTCTATCTCACTGTTCCTGAGTTTCTTTTAAATAAGTTTATGGTCTTATATACATACCAGAATTTGCAGTGAATAGGATCAGAAGAAATTTGATTGAAAAAAAATGCTTTGCTTTTGGTCTCTAATTATGGTTGACTTGTTAGAAATTGGAAAGCCTGGGGCCAGAGAGATAGTACAGCGGGTAGGTAGCTTGCCTTGCACGTGACAGATCTGGATTTAGTCCCTGAGAGCCACCAGGAGTACGCCCCAAGGACCATTGGGTGTGGCCCAGAAACCAAACAGGACATTTTAGAAATGTGTGATCAGGGTCTGAGAGAGATTAAAGGCTAAGGCACATGTCTTGTATGTGAGATCCATGTTGGATCCCCGAGCACTGCAGGTGTGACCCCTGGGAGCCTGGAGTGCTGCTAGGATAGCACAAGGAACCTCCTGCACCACGGGCCAGAGCAACACCAGTCCTTGGGTCTGGTTCACTGGCTGGCCCGGATGGCTGAGAATAAGCCTAATGGGGCTGGGCGGGGGAAATCTAATCCACGGAATCTTGCATAAATCATTGCTTTGGATCATAAGATAATAAAATTGTGTTATGGGTTATTTCATTGGAGCGAAAGAAAGTGTCTGCTTCTACGTGTAAGACTCAAGAAAAATCTTTTTGTTGTTGTTTTGTTTTGGGGACACACCCAGCGATGTTCTGGGGTTTACTCCTGGCACTGCACTCAGGAATTACTCCTGGTGGTACTTGGAGGACCATATGGGGTGCCGAGGATTGAACTCAGGTTGGCTACATGCAAGGCAAATGCCCTACCCGTTGTACTATTGGTCCAGCCTGAAAAATCAGATTTAGAAGAAATATGACTTGCCCGGCCGGAGCGACAGCACAGCGGTAGGGCGTTTGCCTGGCATGCAGCCAACATGGCCGACCCGAGTTCGATTCCTCCGCCCCTCTCGGAGAGCCCGGCAAGCTGCCGAGAGTATCTCGCCCGCACGGCAGGGCCTGGCAAGCTCCCCGTGACGTATTCGATATGCCAGACACAGTAACAACAAAGTCTCATGATGGAGACGTTACTGGGCCCGCTCGAGCAAATCGATGAACAACGGGAGGACCGTGACCGTGACTGTGACCGATGACTTGCCCGCACGGCAGAGCCTGGCAAGCTCCCCGTGACGTATTCGATATGCCAAACACACTAACAACAAGTCTTTAGTCTCATGATGGAGACGTTACTAGGCCCGCTCGAGCAAATCGATGAACAACGGGAGGACAGTGACTGTGATGACTTCCTGTTTAAATACTTGTTTTGGTTTTCAGAGAAACCAATCAGAACTAAACTCCGAAGGTAATTTGCTGAAATCAGGAAGCCAGAAGAGTTGGGAGTGATCAGGAGGGTGGTGTTTGGGAGTTATGTGGAGCTCCTACATAATTCCATAAAGGTTATTAGCAAGCTCTTTGGCTTTTAAGTACTCCCTTGAGTATGGCTGAGGAGGATAGTTTGGTGGAGGACTGGGCTGGAGCTGACCATGCAGAAAGACCCCGTGGGATCTCACCGCTTGTCCATGGTCACCACTTGCCTCCTGGAGTGTGGAACTGGGGTGCTGTGCCCTCGAATCCTGTTTCTGACCAGAGGTGGATGGTTAAACGTGAGGTGGGGGCCTGCTGTTGCTATGTGATCATACTGAATCAAGCCTGATTTTCCTCACAGGGTGTGTTTTGCTCTGAATTATATATTATTATTATTGAGAGGTCACTTTTAAAAAATTGTTATTTTTAAAATTAGTTTATTTATTTTTACTTTTTGGGTCACACCCAGCCATGCACAGAGGTTACTCCTGGTTCATGCACTCAGGAATTACTCCTGGCTGTGCTCAGGGAATCATATGGGATGCTGGGAATCGAACCCAGGTTGGCCATGTGCAAGGCAAATGCCCTACCTGCTGTGCCCTAATTTTTTAAATTTTTTAATGAATTTTTTATTATTTTTTAATGAATTTTAATGAATTTTTAAAATTTTCCAGCCCCTAATTTTTAAAATTTTTTTTTTAATGAATCACTGTGAGATACAGTTACAAACTATCTGAATTGTATATTATTAACCCCCACATTGATAAACTGGGGTCAACCCCCCTCCCGGCTTTTTTTTCCCATTTGAGTATCTGAGGAGTTTAATTGATTGGTTAGTTTTGTGGTCAGTTAGCCTGCAGAAGCTCATGGAACTTAGATAATTGTCCCAACTGTGTGATGGGTCACTCATCTATCCCAGAAACTGGAGCCCCCCTGTCTCTCACTCCGGATGCTAGTGCTTGAACCTCCTTATGGTCCAGTGCTGTCTGCTCAGAAAACCTCCCCAGCCTTCAGGACTCCCTGGGGCCTGGCTTGCTAACATGACATCATCTGTTCCATTGGTTACATTGTAGGTTGGCATCCCTTGAGAGCATATTAGCTTCCTGGCTGAGCTGCTGAGCCTAGCTCCAGTTGCAGTCTGCAAGGCGTGGGTGTTTACTTCTTAGGGAGAAAAGAGCTCCCAGATGGCTCCTGCATCCACTCCTGTCTGGTCTCCACAGATGAGATTGAGGGAGTATTCTGACACATTGACCTTGTTTTTTTTTCCTCTGTAGGAGGCCGTCCTTTCTTCCTCTCTCAGTTGACCCGGTTCCTCTTTCCCTGGCGTGATCTTTCGCTGTGTCTTTAAATGACTTTCTCAGTGTTTACTGTTAGAACTCACAGGCCCTCTCTCCTTCCGCCTCCGCCTGTGCTCCAACCACTTCCTGATGAAGCTCTTTCCTTTGAAAACAGGAAAGAATCGGAGACTGAAGCAGGCCAAAGAAGAAGCTCAGGCAGAAATCGAGCAGTACCGCCTGCAGAGGGAGAAGGAGTTCAAGGCCAAGGAAGCTGCGGTGGGCACCCTTTAATGTTTATTCCCGGGAATCCTTCCGCTCTCCCTCTCCCCTGCCCCCCTTCCCTGCCCCCCTCCCTGATGCCAGCATAGCTCAGTGCAGTTGCTGGTTATGGCGGCATTCTGAAATTTGGATTATTCTCCCCGTCTTCCCATCCTCTCCCCTCAGTCACCACACCTGGAAGCTCCAAGTGCATGTGCTCTCGGATCACGAGGGCCACACCTTGGGCGGGGGGGTTCGGGGTTACTGGAACCAGAGTGCACACAGACACCTGGAGATGGAGCCACACTCTGCCACATCTCCCACACCCGCTCCAGTGCTAGAGTATGGGTTTCGATCTCACGGAGAAGCCTGCTCGTCCTTTGCACAGTTGATGCACTGTGCGAGTGTCCCTCCCTGCTCTGTTGGAGCTTAGCGGCCAGTCTTCCAGGCTGCTGGCTAGGGAGACTCAGTGACCATTGCGAGTCTTGCAAATCTGCCACCGTGAGAAGGGCCATGACATACATAAATGCTGGGAGTGCCACGTCAGCATAGTGTCACGGGAGATAGGGGCCAGACTGGCACGTGGAGGGCACGGTGGCATGAGGAAAAGAAGTCCAGAGGAGGTGGACGCTCCTGCCACTTCTCTGGGAATGGCTGGCGGGGGCTCCCCAGAGGAGGGGAACTGTCAGGACTCTTGACCAGAGGCTCCAAGGGCACATGCCCTGATATCACAAGGTGCTAGAAAACAGTTCAGACGTGTTCCAACAGGACGGAGTTTATTGACTGCTATAATTAAAATTCCGGGTGAAAGTCAGACCTCACCTTTTTAAAAATTTGTTTTGATTCTGGGGCTTTGGGGATGGTTCTAAACTTGCTCTGGGGACCAGGAGGCGCAGGTATCTGCCCCGGCCTCCGGTGTGTGCTCCAGCCAGTTGGGCCATCTCGCCAGCCTTTTCTCCTATTACACCTCTTCTGCACCTGCCCGTGGAGCCTGTCTAAGCGACACACTGGGCATGAGCGCACACTCTAGCTGTGTCGTTGGAGAACGCTTACTGTGACATGGCATGTAGCTTCTGTTCCTAGAGGAGGTATTGGGGGGTTATAGGCTGTTACAGTTATGAGCTGGCACCTGAACTATTGAGGACATGCCCAGGGAATTTCTGTCACTGAGCAGTTCTCAAGTGACATGACAAATTCTGCATTTATCTGCTTCTGTGAACCGAACCCGTGCCCAGACATTGGAAGCCTGCCCTTTACCAGAGAGCCACAGTCTAGCAAGAGTTCCAGGCTTAAACTTGGAAGACCAGTATTTGAATTTTGGAAGGTGTGCTCTGATCTCTGTGAGCCTCAGTTTACTCCCGTGGGCAAGGGGTGTGATTGCCTCCTCAAAGGCTGGGAGGGGCAGGTCAGGTAAGAAAATTGGGGCTGAAGAAAATTCCTCAGCTGGAAAGGGGTCTGGTGAGCAGCCCAGGCTTACTGAGGCTAAGCAGAGATGGCCCTGCAGGGTTTCCTTCACCATGAACTTCACCAAGAACTCAGTAGGTGCCATTGTAGGAACTAGGTATGGCGGTTAGCGAAAAGCCAGCCCTGTTCTCTGAAGACAGTCGAGTAAAAAGTCTCTCCTTCCCTGGGAGCCCAAGATCGGAGAGGGAAGGGCTTAAGTTAAAAAGGAGCAAAGGAGAGTAGCACATTGCCAGGCTGCTTCTCTTGCACACACCCGCAGTCGCCTCTGCTCGTCAGTTTCTGTTTCCTGCGTGAGCTGGTACAGAGCACTGAGCTGGTGACGGCTGCTGAACTCCCAGCCTCAGCGGAACTCTTAAGTGTGAAATGCTACTCCTCCTAAGTTGCTCTCCCAGTGTGTATGAGTTTAGAAGAGCTTTCCGAGAAACACCACATACAACTCGCTTTAAAAATGACACTAGAAGGGGCTGGAGTGATAACACATCGAATAAGGCATTTGCCTTGTACGCGGCGGACCCGGGTTCGAATCCTAGCATCCCATATGGTTCCCTGATCACTGCCAGGTAATTCCTTAGTGCAGAGCCAGGAGTAAGCCCTGAGCATTGCCAGGTGTGCCCCCTCCCCCCCCGAAAAGAGATTAGGAAAACATCTACCCGCGCTGATCACGTCCTGCCTTTCTTGCTCTCCCCAAACTGTGTTTTACACTTCGCTCTCTCTTGTGTATGCATCTACCCTGTATTTCCCTACCAGTGGGACAGTTCTCTGGTATGCTCTGTACTAATTTATTTGGGGCAGGTAGTGTTTGTGCCACACCTGGCGATGCTAGGCGTTACTTCTGGCTCTGCACTCAGGAATTACTCCTGGCAGTGCTTGGGGGACCAAATGGGAAGCGGGGATCGAACCTAGGTTTTCCATGTGCAAGAGAAGCACCCTCATGCTGGACTATCACTCTGGTCCCGTACTGTACTTCTAAAAAATCAGTCCTGTCACTGGTCTTGAGATTCTTTGCAGTCTTTGGCTAAGGCCAGGTGTCAGACTCTGGGAAGATGTGACTAGATCACTAGGATAATATCCTGGCTGTGTAACTGCAGTTGACTGTTTTGTACCTGGGATAGATTCTTGGAGCTGATACTTTTGAGACCTGTGGTCTACCACTGGTTGGGCCTTTGTCTCTGGCTTCACCTTTCGACAGCTGTGGTGAGTCTTTGCTCCCCGCCTCTCTGCAGTCATGAGTCCAGAACGCCTGCTGGTGCTCTCTGTTCCCTGACGAGATCAGGTCTTGTCCACAGTAGCGAGCTGCCTACTGAGTGTTCTTTATGTTCTGCTCCCTGGCTGTAGGCGCTGGGATCCCACGGCAGTTGCAGCACGGAAGTGGAGAAGGAGACCCAGGAGAAGATGACCGTCCTCCAAACCTACTTCCAGCAGAACAGGGACGAGGTTCTGGATAACCTCCTGGCCTTCATCTGCGACATCCAGCCGCAAATCCACGAAAACTATCGCATCAATGGCTAGGCGGGGAAGAAAGCCACACCTGTGCCCGTGGATTGACACACTTTCCTGGGACACGGTGCTTTAGTGGAGCTTGAGTTCTAATTGTGTGAAAAGGCATTCAGTTATTTATATGGTGGTAGGTCCCTTCCCTTTTCTGAAGAATAGCAAATCTAGTTTCTTTGTACGAACTCTAGCTTATCCAAAGATTTCATCTTTTTACCTCATTTTTCTTAGAAATTTAAAATATTTTGCTTTTCTATGCCTTTTAGCTCAAGCAATGTATAAATATATGTCTCAATACTGAGTGTCTTTCTTAGATGTACTGAAAAAAAAATTTGTAATTTTTTTTTTTTAAGAAAGGAAGGGATCAAAAAAATTTTTTTTTCCCTAAAACTTTCTTAAAGGTCAGGAGCTTCATCTATGAAAAAGTAGTAAATAGTTCTTTTTCCCCACGTAAAGCAGCAGCCGGCCTTAACTAGCCCTGCCCAGGGCCAGCACGTGACTCGCAGCAGCGGTGTCTGGGCTGCTTTTAGTTTCCCCTCATCGAAATCACTAGGTGGTAGAATTCGAGGACTTGTCCCATCTTATTACTTGGTGTGCTGATACTCGTTTAAAAGACTGTGAAGTCAAGACTCTGTGTGGTGCGTGTTTCTTCCCTCCCACTTACCCTTCTCGAGAACTCAGTCACTGGCCCGATGTTCCGGAAACCTCATGGAGATTGACCACACATGTCACATACCCTTGGGCACCCACGCCTAGAGGTAGGGATGGAAGTGTTTCAGTGGGGAGGGAGTCTGAGGGTTTCACGTAGCGCCTGTTTGGTCAGCCTGCAGCCCGCCGCCTTTGCTGAGCCGCCACAGGCAATTGTGCAGCTCTTCTCCATCCTGGTGGGCTCGATGGCCCGTGTAATAGCGCCTTGGTGGCCTCACGGCAGGACTGCACAGCTAAAGACCTGGTAGCAGCAAGCCTACGGCTGCAATGTCATTCCCAGCAAGTAGAAACCATTGAAAGGACAGACAGGATTTTTTGTGGAACTGTGAGGAAATCAGACGACTTTAAAGTCTTACATCCTGTGCTTGCAGATGGTTTGATGTTGGGCCACAGCTGGCGTGTGTGTGCGATGCACAGTGAATGCAGCTGATGAACTGGAACAGCCTTGCCTCTCCGTTGAAACCGCTTGTTAAGATTAGTGCCCAGTCCTGCTTTCCCCTCTGCCCTGCCTGACAGGGTTGACTGCTGGAAGACTCCCAGCCTGCAGTGGTGTGTGACCTTGCGACTCAGGCTCTGTTACTGAGGATGCAAATTTATATCTCATATTGCTTATTTGATGATTCAGATATTTAATAAAACACAGCGGGTAGGGCGTCTGCCTTGCACGCAGCCAGCATGGCCGACCCGAGTTCGATTCCTCCGCCCCTCTCGGAGAGCCCGGCAAGCTACCGAGAGTATTCGATATGCCAGACACAGTAACAACAAAGTCTCCAATGGAGACGTTACTGGGCCCGCTCGAGCAAATCGATGATCAACGGGAGGGCCTTTACTTTACTTTACTCCCATGTTAAATATGTCTCAAACTATACTTACTTTCATTAGGGTTTTTTTTTTTTTGTTATTTTTCTTTTTTTCCCCCACTACTGCGATTCGACCTTCACCCCTGCTTATTACAGGTACCAATTTCCCAGACTGGGAAACCAGGAGGAAGCACAGCCTGTATCCAACCTCCAACTGTGTTAGACCTGGCATCTTCCTTTTTTTTTTCTTTTTTGTTGGCTTTTTGAGTCACACCCAGTGATGCTCAGGGTTACTCTTGGCTCTGCACTCATGAATTACTCCTGGTCATGCTTGGGGAACCATAGGGGATGCTGGGAATCGAACCCGGCTTGGCTGCAATGCAAGGCGAATGCCCTACCCTCTGTGCTATCTTACCACTCTGGTCCCAAGACCTGGCATCTTTCATGTGACTTTTCACCCTGGGTGGATAGGATTGAACTAACCTGACTTGCTTCCAGGCAAGCCACTTAATTCTCAAAAGCAACAGGCATTTCAGAAGGTGTGACCTGGTGTCAGTGGTTGAGGCCGGAGCAAATAGGGTTGCAGGACCCGAAAGAGGAAATGAGAGGGTTTGACAATTAACTTGGATGTAGAATGAGTGGAGAAACAGCTAGTGGTGAAGGGGAAACAGACTCGTTAGTGTGGTGAAGAGGAGGAGAGAGGTGATAACACCAAAATGCTGGTGGGGACGGGAAGTGGGGGAAGACATGGGGGGGAGGGGGGGTGCAGTGAGCTCCCCAAGGGGTGTGGGCAGACATAGCTCTCCAGTTCTCAGATGCAGTTCTAACGGGGCTGCTCAGCCACACCCCAGCCCTGTCAGGTGGGACTGGGACTAAGGTTTGTTATAAGGGCAGGGAGTTCCCTTGTGCCGAAGTACAGGACATGCACATGCCTTATTTTGGGGGCCAGATTCAATGGTGCTCTGAGGACCGTGCAGTGCCGGGGGTGGAACCCAGTCCTTTTGTATGTGCTCTTGCCCCTTAAGCTATGCTTCTGGGCCCTGAAATGAGCATACTTGTTACAGGAAGGCAGGTAGACTTACGGTGATGAGGGATGAGCTGATCAGAGTGCCCCTGTGGAACAAGGCTTGAATTGTTCCCACTTGAGACAAGGGAGGGCAGAGACTCCTGTAGTGGTATCTGGGGGCTGGAACACGGCTGCTGCTAGGACGTCTGGGAAGAGGTTCTGGGCAGCAGTGGGAGGGTCATCTGGACACTAGACATGTCCTTGGGATGTTTGGCTGTAGCCTCCTCCCTCGATGTCGAGGCCTAGCCATAAGGGTGTGTGTGTGTGTGTGTGTGCGCGCGCGTGCCAGATCTACACCCCCCCCACCCCCCCCCCGCCTGAGAAGTGCTACTAAGAACAGAGTCCCCAGTGCAGTGCCAGGACCCAGGTGCTCAGCAGATGCTGAGTCTTCATCACATTCTCATCGTCCTTGATTACCAGAGGCTCTGAAATCTCAGCCATTTCCCCCAGGAAGTGTCTTTCCTGTGTTGGCCAACTCCAGGGCCGGGGATTTCGGTGACTTCTGCCTGCGCTGTGCAGTTTCCACTGCTGCAGAAAGGGGAAGAAAGTGGACGAACAGGTGGCAGCTCTTCCACAACTTCAGGAGTGACCTCTGCCACTGGTTCTCCGCCCATCGCGAGTGTGGGTCATGTGGCCCGATGGAACAGATGGAGGCTGAGGATTGGGGCTGTGGGCGGGGCCGGGCTTTGTGGTGAGGCAGAAATAGGCGGGCCAAACTGCCAGCAGGAGCTTTCTGGGCAAGGGAGACATGAACACATCTTCAGAGCAGCTTTCAAGACTGAGGTAAAGGTGAGGGGCCTACCCCTAGGGGTTTGTGGGGGTGAGGGGTCTCCCCCCAGAGCTGCGCAGGGGTGAGGGGTCTCCCCAGGGGTGTGCAGGGGTGAGGGGCCTCCCCTCAAGGGTGCGCAAGGGTTGGGGGTCTATCCCTCCAGGGGTGTGCAGGGGTGAGGGTTCTCTCCCAGGGGTTCGCAGGGGTGAAGGGTCTTATCCCACCGGGGTGTACAGGGTAAGGGGGTCTCTCTCCACCAGGGATTTGCAGGGGTGAGATGGTCTCTCAGGGGTGTGTGGGGGTGAGGGGTCTCTTCCCCAGGGATGTGCAGGGGAAGAGGAGTCTCCAGGGGTGCACAGGGGTGAGGGTCTCCCAGGGGTGTGTAGGGGTGAGGGGTCTCTCCCAGGGGTGTGGGTCTCAGAGGAGTTGTAGGAGTGGTCTCTCCCAAGGGTGTGCAGGGGTCAGGGGTTTCAGGGGTGCACAGTGGTTAGGGGTCTCTCCCAGGGGTCCACTGGGGTGAGGGGAGTCTCTCCCGGGGGAGCACAGAGCTGAGATTTCCCTCAGGGATGTGCAGGGGTTAAGGGGTCTCTCTCAGGGGTGCGCAGGGGTGAGGGGGTCTCTCCTAGGGGTGTGCAAGGGTGAGGAGTCTCACCCTGGGGAGCGCGTCCGTAGAAGCCAGTATCAGACTGGAGTCTGGTTTAGTGTTGGTGCTGACCTTTGCCAAGTACCCATGGAGCCCCGCTGAACACCTCCCCTTGGGCCTGCAAACGAAAGAGACAGACACGGAGGCCCAACCACAGCGCTGGGGTGGCTTTTTTGTGTTTTCCACACCTTGTTGGTGAGAGGCGCCTGTGGGGCTGAAGCCCCCCAGCCCCGCCACAAAATGGCACAGAGTAGAGGCACAAGCCACGGGGCTGGGCCTGGAATTCTTGGTTTTTCCCTTCACAGACTGGTGGGGAGGCCTCCACACAGCCTGGTGCCACCCCACAGCCCTCCACACAACTCAGTCTGACCTCATGGGCCAGGGTTTGTTCAAGTAATATAGTTCAGGGGATGGATCGATAGTACAGTGGGTAGGTGTTTGCCTTGCATTCGCTGACCCAGGTTCGATCCCTAACATCCCATATGGTCCCCCAGCACTGCCAGGAGTAATTCTTGAGTGCAGAGCCACGAATAACCCTTGAGTATCGTGGGATATAATCCAAAAAGAAAGAAAGAAAAAAGAAAAAGGTATGCATAAGACATATGTTAAATTTAGGCTGACTGTTACGTTGAGGGCAAGGTCGGTTTAGTTTGAGGGTTAAAATTAGCATTGGCGGACTGGAGCGATAGCACAGCAGGTAGGGCGTTTGCCTTGCAGGCGGCTGACCCAGGTTTGATTCCCGGCATCCCATATGTTCCCCTGAGCAACACCAGGAGTAATTCCTGAGAACATGAGCCAGGACTAACCCCTGTGCATCACCGGGTGTGACCCAAAAAGCAACAATAATAACAACAGCAAAAATTAGCATTCGGGGAGCTGGAGCGATAGTACAGCGGGTAGGTGTCTGTCTGCCTTGCATGCGGCTGACCTGAGTTTGATCCCTGGCATCCCATATGTCCCCTGAGCACTGCCAGGAGTAATTCCTGAGTGCAGAAGCAGGAGTAACCCCTGATCATTGCTGGGTGTGACCCTTAAACCAAACAAAATCACTGTCATCCTGTTCATTGATTGACTCGAGTAGGCACCAGTAATATCTCCATTCGTCCCAGTCCTGAGATTTTAGCAGCCTCTCCTAACTCGTCTTTCCCAGTGTTGCCGTATTGGAGGCCCTTTCAGGGTCAAAGGAATGAGACCTGTTATTGTTACTGCTTTTGGCATATTGAATGTGCCACGGGGAGCTTGCCAGGCTCTGCCGTGTGGGCAGAATACTCTCGATAGCTTGCCAGGCTCTCAGATGCATCACGATCAC